TTTTCAAAAATACATGTTTTATCAAGGGAAATTTGGCAACTCTCGGATGTTCATCCGGCGTTCTTCCTTAGCACGGCAGTGCTGCAGGGATACTTTCCATCGACAACTGAAGAATTTAACTAGAAAGAAACATATAAAAATAACAGCATAACCAAAAAAAATGTTGAATTGAAGAATAAACCGCGCGTTTAGAATTGCATGAGCGATGTCGCTGTTACTCTGATTTACAAGAAAGATACCAGCAAAAATTACATTGGGATACAGGGGTATAAAATTGGCTTTGTCTCTGAAATAATTAATTTACCTTAGATTGTGCTTTGAAGTGATACAAGGCAGTAGGTAATTACAAATTTGTGCTTGAGTGTTTGTTCAAATGAAGTGTCATCGATGGAGAAAATTTTATTGAAGTAAAATTGTGTCCTCGGACCATAAAGCAGTGCATTTGATGACTGGAGCACAACTCACAGGTATAAGGTAACATCATACTGATAACTTGTTAAACGGTCAAGGGAAAAAACAATAAATAGAATTTAAAGCGACATAGAAGAGAAATTACAGAACAGAGGATTTCAATTTTCGAGGAAAGTAGGGCCTCTCTCTCACTAGCTTTTCTGAAAATTCTTAAGATTAGCCTTATGACAGTAAAAAAAACTGAGCCTTACATGATAATATAAAAAAAAGAGACGAGAAATTGACATAATCATAGCAATCCTTAAGACAGGAGGATGGGAAAATATTTCAGCAATGTGGCAACGCCGTTACTTCCCCGCCTCCCACCACTCGTTTGCTGCGTGAAGAAAACAAAAGAAGATGACCGTTGAGCCAAGGAAGATGGAAATTCCACCCCCGAACCTGTAACGGCCGAGGGGTCGCGGTATTCGCCACTTGGTCTGATCAGTCTTGCCGAGTCTTGCTGCCTGCGTATCATTAGCGTGTCGCCGCTCACATTTTTCGTCTGTGTTGCTTTAAATTCTATGTATTTATTGTTTTTTCGCTGGACTGTTTAACAAGTTATCAGTATAAACTTACCTTATACCTGTGAGTTGTGCTCCAGCCATCAAATGCACTGAATTGTGTTCCAAGGACACAATTTTACTGCCATATTTTCTCCATCGATAACGCTTCATTTGAACAAACACGCAAGCACAAAATTGTAAGTACTATTGCCTTATTTCACTTCAAAGCACAATCTAAGATAAATTAATTATTTCAGAGACAAAGCCAATTTTATATACCCCTGTATCCCAATGTAATTTTTGCTTGTTTCTTTCTTTTAAATCAGAGTAAAACAGCGACATCGCTTATGCAATTCTAAACGCGCGGTTAATTCTTCAATTCAACATTTTTCTGGTTATGCCTTTAATTTAATATGTTCCATTTTAGTTAAATTTTTCAGTTGTCGATGGAAAGAATCCCCGCAGCAGCTCTGCAACTCGGCGGCAAAGCTACGAGCCTCTCCCACAATGACTGTTGTGTGGTTTGAATTCTTGACAGCGTGTGGGAGATGGTTTGTAGCAAAAATTTTCACCTTCAAACTACTTTTATTATAGTACCTACATTCACACTGTTGCTGTAATAGGGCGGAGGATGAGCTTACCTCAGGAGGAATTGGATAAACTTCTGGTGAGTCTGTGTTTTTTTAACTTTTCCTATCATCATATGTTTTTTTGGTTTTTTCCCCTTCATTTTTCTGTTGAAAAAAAACTGCAAAGTGAGAATGGATATCCATGTACTTTTGCTTCTATACTATTTACAATCTTTTTATAATAGATTCTCATCAGACCGAGACCTTGACTCACTGGAAATCAACGATCAGGAGAATTCAAGCTGGCTGGGATTCAACGATCAGCATAGGCGGTTCTAGACATTCATGCTTGGGGGTGCCCAGAGGTGGAAAATGTCGGAGACCGGCCCCGAAGGGGACGGTCGCTCAGGGGAGGCCTAAGTTTCGGCCCCCAAGTTTTACCCCTTTCCTACCCTCCTTTCTCTTTCTCTCTCCTTCCTTTCTACTTAAATATCTATACATTTAATGTAGAAAATTTTTAGCAAAACTTTCCATCAAAACTACAGCCTTACCATAAAAAAACAGTAGACTCTTTGTAAAACACGGCTATCAACATTGATTCTGTTTAAAACATTTTCAATTAATTGCTGGGATTTTTTCTCAGTGTGGGCGAATACAGAATCTTTAAACCCTGGTAAAAATTGACGATAGTAGCTGCGTTTCAAAATACCATAGGGGTTCTTATAGACGGCTAAAGAGGGCTATTGAAAATCATATAGCTGGCTGTAGAAAGCTGAGCAACTCATATAGCCGGGCTATACGAAGCTATAACAAAGTATACAGTCGGGCTATAGTTCCTATCGCCGGGCTTTACACATTCTCGCCATTGGCTATAAAAGGCTATAAGAAATTGTGTAGAAATTCGTGTGCTTTGGAAATCATTAAGATTGATACGGAACTACCTTAATATTTACAAAACACACTTTATATTTTCCTTTAAAACGTATTTTTTTTTTCATCAATTAAAATGAGATGGTCCATACAGAGTGTGCAAACATTTCAAAATCATGAGCTGAAAAAAGAGCCTAACACAAAGCGGAGCGGCGACGCATTGGTGCCTACAAACCTAACAGGGATACTTCACGCATTGCGCGGCGACGCACTGGCGCCTACAAACCTAACAGGGATACTTCACGCATCGCACGGCGACGCACTGGCGCCTACAAACCTAACAGGGATACTTCACGCCAGGCCCGCCACATCCCATCTCGGGCCCTGGTACCAATTTTCTGGCCCGGGCCCCTAGCACAGGGGGGGGGGTCCGGGGGGCCTCCCCCGGAAAATTTTTGAAATTTTAAATCTATTTGGACGCATTATGAAGCTCTTATGATTGAGATTTTCCATCAATTTCTGCAGAATAATTACGCCTTTTTGTTTACTTTCAGCACCAAAAACTTTCGAATTGTTGCATTCAAAACATCTATGAATTTTTTTTTTGAGGGGGCAGATGATAATTTTCAATTCTATGGGGAGCCGGGCCCCTCTGGACTCCCCTTTCGTACGTCTATGGCAAGGCGGAGTTAAGCCATTGAAGTCGAGGATGCCCAGAAAGGAGCCTCTTAGCATCCGACAACGGAAGAAAATGAAACACAGTTACTAAAAATATCATTCTACATATACTCAAAATCTTGAAAATCTCTAAAAAGTAAGAAAAATTTTATAGTGCCCTAGCGTGTTTTTGAAACTTTATTCACCTTTTGCGGAATTTTTAGGGTAATTTTTTCACTTTTCCGTACGAGACAAGGGTTACACATGAATTCGTAGTGGTTTGTCACCTGCGTCACGGGCCTCTCCAGGGCGCGGGCCCCGGTACCAAGGACCCAGTATCCCCCCCCCCCCCNCGCCTACAAACCTAACAGGGATACTTCATGCATTGCGCAATGCGTGAAGTATCCCTGTTAGGTTTGTAGGCGCCAATACGCGTTTCGCGCTCTCTGCCCGCCCGCCGCGCCGCAGCGTGCCACGGCGTCTGAAGCAACTGTTTCACACCAGGTATTGCACAGTATCATAAGACATTGAAGGCTCTCCAACATATTAAGAATGACAGGCATCCTTCAAAAGTACGGAGCTTTCCTCGCAAAATAAATCAAGATACTACGGCACAAAAAGAGAGCNGCCGCAGCGTGCCGAGGCGTCTGAAGCAACTATTTCACACCAGAGGTATTGCACAGTATCATACGAAACTGAAGGCGCTCTAATATATTAGGAATGGCAGGCACCCATCAAAAGTACGGAGCTTTCCTCGCAAAATAAATCACGATACTACGGCCCAAAAAGAGAGCAGTGGTCCAAAAACTCACTAAGTCTTAGTATCCGTATTTACTAACGTTTAGCATAAACTTTATCGTCCGGCTGTTACTTAATCGCCATCGGCTATAAAAGGCTATAAGAAATTGTACAGCCGGCTACAGAAGCTATTGGAAATTTTACAGCCGGCCTTAGGTCAATGGTATTTTGGAACACAGATTTTACTGCCAATTTTTACCAGGGAAAGCAGTAATTTCACGGTTCCGATAACCGTACTTAATTTTTGCTTGGGGGTGCCCGGCACCCACTGGCACCCCCGTAGAACCGCCTATGACGATCAGGATCATTCAAGCTAGTTAGGATTCAACGATCAGGATCATTCAAGCTCGTTGAAATTCAATGATCAGGATCATTCAAGCTCATTGGAATCCAATGATCCGGATCATTCAAGCTCGTTGAAATCCAATGATCCGGATCATTCAAGCTCGTTGAAATCCAATGATCCGGATCATTGAAGCTCGTTCAAATCCAATGATCCGGATCATTCTAGCTCGTTGAGATCCAATGATCAGGATCATTCAAGCTCATTGAAATTCAATGATCAGGATCATTCTAGCTCATTCGGGCGCATTAAAATTCAATGATCAAGTGAACGATCTGGATCATTCAAATTTGAATGAGCTGACGAAAAACTCATTCAAATTGAATGATCCGGATCGTTCATTTTTCAATGAGCTTGAATGATCCATTTTTTCTCGGGATGTGGAAGGTTTCACGAGAAACGTGGAATTCCACGTTGTTGTCAACGTTGAAATTGTTATCTGGACTCATATTAAAAAGTGTATTATAAAAATCGAAGTATGGCAATTTTCTGCATTATATGGTACAAAAGTAAGATTTTCTACTGCTGTTTTGAAGCATTACAGATTACAAAAGGCTTTAACTTTAAAAATTGGTATCGTGAGTTCCCTTCTGATGCGTGGGTAAGCATGGCCAAAACGTCCTAACTCGTGCCCAAGCGTAGGTTTTTGCCTCAACTCAGTCAGCATTAGACCCAAGATGACCCATACAATCAGGTCACAAAGTTTGGTACAAACCCCACTGGGCACAGTAAGAGGCCGTTTCAATGAACCCTTTTTAAACCAAACTATGAACATTCAATTTAAACTTAATTTCTTCTTTCTGACAGGTCATTTGGAGTATTACTTTGGGAAGTGATGTCGTTAGGGTATATGCCTTACACAGGATGCACAAATCGAGATGTCATGACACTAATCTCGTCTGGAGGACGTTTAGAGCCCCCCAGCAACTGTCCAGCTCCACTGTATGCTATTATGACCACATGTTGGCATCCGAACCCGGAAGAAAGGCCTAATTTTGGTACTATTTTAGAAAGATTAGGATACTGCATCCAGGTTAGCTTCATCCGTTTATTTCTACCCTGCCTAAGTTAGATGAAAGTGATTGACCCTGAGTTTTTCATTCGCCCTTTCATTGACTTTAAAACCTCCTAAAGGCATAAGAGGTGCATTACGTAAGGAAGTTGACCATGAATGGCTGAATTAGATTGACGTTACAGCAACAATAACAATTCACAGAAAATAATCTATTGATTAATGTAAACTTTGGGCCCTTTCAGAGGATGACTAGAACAAGTAGGCTAAGCTCAGTTCAACAGCAGAACGTACCTAGGTATATTGAATGATACTTTCTGAACCAGGAGAACTGGATTATTATCTGAATCTTCGGATGCCTTGGTATTAGGCTTTTCGTTGAAATGGATTGAACAGGAGGCGTCGAAGTAGCATCGAAGGCCATATCCGCGATCTTATGTTTTCAAATTTGGAATACATAAGTTACTTTGGCCGTGAAAATTTATTGCAATCGGTGTCGTAGGAGCCAAGACAGCACTTTAGACCTTATCCACCACCTTTGCTTTTCAAATTTGACTCCTTTTTTAAGTTCCCTGTCAAATGCGATATATGTCTCAGGCAGTTAGTCGAAGAACGACCCTAAGAATGGCACGATTTGGGACCGTGGGGATTTTTTTAAAACTGGGCCCAAACGATACCTTATGATACCCTAAAACTCTGGTAAAAATTTTACCTTGAGTATGCGCACGGTTTTTGAGAAATGGGGGGCAAAGTTGCTTGATCGCCCTTGACATCATCATTCTTTACAGCATTTTTACAGCAAAAAGACGGGAAAACTTGACAAAAAAGTTTTATTTTTGATGGCTTTGGACTGTGAATGTTACAATTGGACCCCCGTGCATATAATAGTGTTCAGTTTTAAAAATTTCGGTCGCACAGTGGTCCCAAATGGGAAGAAATTGTGGACGAATCAGGGTTTTTTGTCAATTTTTTAAAAATGGAAGTGAAATTGTTGATCTCCTGCAGAGTTCATGGCTAACAATGTTCTTATCGGTCCTCAATGCATTAAATTGTGTTCAGTTTCACAAATGTACATCGCACAGTGGTCAAAAATGGGGGAATTAGTGGACAACTTAAGATTCTCTGTCAAACTTTTTAACAATGAAGTGAAACTGTTGGTCCCCAGTAGACTTTAGATCCCGGAAAAATTCTTTAAATTTTTAAAATAGGGTTCAGCTTCACAAATTTCCATCGCATAGAGGTCCAAAATGGGAGAATTAGTCAATAAATTAAGATCCTCCGACAAACCGTTTAAAAATGAGGTGAAATTGTAGGTCCCCTGAAGAGTTCAGATCCTGGATAAATTCATGTATTTAATTTTTTTTCATTATTGTTGTCTGTCGCTATTGTCGCAGTGGTCCAAAATGGGGGAATCAGGTAGTTGCATAGAATTTTTTTAATTCAATTTTTAATTGAAAGATATAAAGTCAAAATAGGTTAGTAACCAACAAAAGCGATCCATATTCATTGCTTTGAACTGATCGAATGAAGTCTGGAAACGGTAATTCAGATAGACCTTACCTATTAGATCCTTAAAATGCGGCTAAACGGGTGGTTTTTGCTGTAGTTAGTTGTCAGAAAATAATTGTAATTCAGAAAAATTGAAATTAATTGAACTTAAGAAAAATTTTAAAAAAAAGCTAACAAAAATGATGAAAAACAAAAAAAAAAAAACTTTAAAAAACAGAATACAAAAAAAATAAAAAAATAAAAACAGCAAACAACAAAAAAATTAAAAAAACAGAAAACAAAAACAAATTTAAACAAGCAGTGAACTCCAACACAATGTGTTGATAAGGCGCGTCATTAACTCGCACATATCAACCCCTTTAGTTTTCATTTACAGAGATTTCAAAATAGGCAAGCAGCACAATAGGAAAATTCACGATCCAACACTGCGAGGTCAACGACGCGACGCACCTTGACGAGACCGTGTATTGTGAATGCAGAAAGCCATTCGGACGAGTTTAACTTTTTTGATCTGCCTCAAGGAAAATCTTATCAGATTCTTGAAAAAAGTGCTACGGAATAATTTAAACGAAGAAAGGAAAAATTCTGTCGAAGTCCTGAAAGATGAAGTCGATTGAAATGTATTTTGGGGCTAAAATACCCAAATCACCGGTAGTATAAATCCCGTTATATTATTGAAAAGAAATTGACTCGACATAAATGCAATTGCATTAAATATGTCTTGATTTTGCAATTTTAAACGTCTTTCCATGCAAAGAAGGTCAACCATGTCCATGCTTTATTCATTCATGAATAATTGAAAGTAAGCAATCTTCATCCCGAAAATCTACCGATTTGCCGTAAAAAATCGCAGAAACCTTACCAGGTCGATGTACCCACTCGTTGAATTAATACAGGGTTATCCAGAGGTCCGGGACCCCCCTTATAACTTGTGAACAAAAAATGCTAGAGATTTGGAATTTGGGGAATGTTCCTAGGTCAAAGGGAACTACTTTTTGGCATACCCAAAATTTTGGGGGGCGCCCCCCCTGAGGGGGGGGGCGGACCCTAACTCTTTTTTTTCAAATGGGAACCCCTATCTTGTGATATATCATTCGAAAGGGCTTAAAAAAAGAAAACTTTCGGCGCAAATCGATTGTCGATACCTCAATTTTTAACTAAATGGCGGCTCATTCAAAAGTCTGGGCCTCCGCTCATAACTCATGAACAAAAAATGTTAGGGATTCGAAATTTGGGGAATATCCCTAGGTGAAAGGGAACTACTTTTTGGCGTACTCAAAATTTCGTGGGGCGGCCCCCCTGAGGGGGGCGGACCCTAACCCTTTTTTTTCAAATAGGAACCCCTATCTTGTGATACATCATTTGAAAGGGCTTGGAAAAAGAAAACTTTTGGCGCAAACCGATTGTCGATACCTCAATTTTTAACAAAATGGCGGCCAAAAAATGGCAGAAATGCGTTTTTTGGTTATTTGCCGTCGGAATCGCTTGAAACTTGGTTTCCACAGGTTTTCGAGCACGAAAAAAACAAATACGATATTGGATCTGCAAAATACCCGAGTTTTTCCAAGATGGCGGCCAAGGTGGTGAGTAATTTCAATTAACGCAACGCGTTAACGCGTTTTAGCGAACGCTATTAAAATGTGCCTCAGTGGTCGGGCGGAAGGGGAGGCACGGGTGGGACTCGACGCGTAGCCACCTCCCCGTGGTGAGTCCTGGGTAGTTGAAATGACAAATCAGGAAACACGATTTTCAACTGGCTGAGAGCAACGCACAGGAAATCTGACACATTCCGATGTAAACTTATTTTCCCGCCATTTTTCGGCCGCCATCTTGGAAAAGCTCGGGTATTTTGCAAATCTAATATCGTATTTGTTTTTTTCGTGCTCGAAAACCTGTGGAAACCAAGTTTCAAGCGAATCCGATGGCAAATAACCAAAAAACGCATTTCCGCTATTTTTTGGCCGCCATTTTGTCAAAAATTGAGGTATCGACAATCGGTTTGCGCCAAAAGTTTTCTTTTTTCAAGCCCTTTCGAATGATGTATCACAAGATAGGGTTTCCTATTTGAAAAAAAAGGGTTAGGGTCCGCCCCCCCTCAGGAGGGCCGCCCCACGAAATTTTGAGTACGCCAAAAAGTAGTTCCCTTTCACCTAGGAATATTCCCCAAATTTCGAGTCCCTAGCATTTTTTGTTCATGAGTTATGAGCGGAGGCCCATACTTTTGAATGAGCCGCCATTTTTTGGCCGCCATTTTGTTAAAAATTGAGGTATCGACAATCGGTTTGCGCCGAAAGTTTTCTTTTTTTAAGCCCTTTCGAATGATGTATCACAAGATAGGGGTTCCCATTTGAAAAAAAAATGTTAGGGTCGCCCCCCCCCTCAGGGGGGGCGCCCCCCAAAATTTTGGGTACGCCAAAAAGTAGTTCCCTTTGACCTAGGAACATTCCCCAAATTTCAAATCTCTAGCATTTTTTGTTCACAAGTTATAAGGGGGGTCCCGGACTTCTGGATAACCCTGTATGTCGACTCCCTGACTTGAAAATGGGTAACTAAACCATAAGCGAATTTTGACTTGCGAATACAGTTTTCTGAAGGAAAATGACGCGTATAACACGATGCGAACATTAAAAACGCGAACAAGTAACTCAATTACCGAGAAATGCGCAGTTCAAATCGCTCAACCTATACGCAAATTTAAAACGCCCCGGTTTCGCGCCGCACCGATTGATGTCATCCGGCACCAATCAGAGGCGGGCAAGGGTTTCCACGACGTCCGTCAAATGTCTATCTTCTCTTCGTATATGAGAACAATACTAAAGTCGAAATTATATCTTTTGAATTCAAGACTAGAATCACATTCATATGTTACCTGTAATAAACAAGCAACCACTCCACATCGAAATACGTTTTATTTTAACAAACATCAGAGGAAAATGAGAGAAGATTGCGTTATGACTACCGCAGTACATTAACCACGTCAGTTTCCCGCCATTCGGGTGCGTTTGAAATGTCTTACAGTTTTTAGATTTTTCAAAAGACTCATTAGATTCTACGTGTAAAAATACTGATGTATCGAAATGCTGAACAGAAACCATGTTTGGACACAGTCAGAAGTCCGCGGCAAATCAATTCAACAGAAAAACGGCAAAAATTAGATCGGATTTTAGCCACTTTGCCCGCCTCTCCTCGTTACTTAGAAACCGTTCCTAAACTCATCTCAAATTTTTTCTCAGAGTTTTGTGTTATTATAAGCTTCCATTTAAACCGCGGTTCGATGGTCGAATCGGCTGCCCTAAAAGCAAGCCATTTTTAAGGATGAGAAATTCGTGATATTATCGGTTCTCAGGAAATCACCCATGGCTAAAATTGATGGTAAAATGTTTGAGTGCTTAAAATAATCGTATTTACGAAACTTAGGCATTAGACTACGGAATCAATTCTTTTTTAAAAATATAACGGGATTTCCTACCGGTGATTTAATCATTAAAGCCACATAATACATTTAAATCGCC